AAAAATGTCGGGTGAAGGGGTGGACGGGTGGTCTAAGACATCCTTTATACGTATTTATTTAATTATGTACAAGTAAAAATTTTATTATTTGCAATGTACATACATAGAACACAATTTTCGCGTAAGTTGGTGATATTCAATAATTTTATTGAGCTTGAGGCCGTTTTATGTGAAAATGGTGATAATATTTGCTACGTGGCGCCTGGTCTAAGGGTGGCAGAAAGTGCAAGTTTGGAAGTGTCTCGAAATAGCCAACTAGGTGGTTGAGTAAATTCTATATATGTCTTTTAACACGATTTAAGAGTTCCAAGAACTATGGCACAAATATGTAGTACCGGATGTCGATATTCTACGAATCGTATTTTTAAGTAAAAATTCAAAAAACATTTCACGGGCTCAACTACGGTAATTGAGTGATCGGTTTTTGTTGCATTTGTTTCCATCTTTAATGACAAGCTCAAAAGTAGACAAGAGCTATTCCATAACGGGTTTTCATCACTTTTCCTAGTCCATTAATAGTTGAGAACATTTATATGATTTCGAACGACGAAATTTCCAATTATGTACATACTTGTAAAAAAAAAACTGGTGATATATATACATAAAAATCAGTACAGTACAGTATGTACATCTACGGAAGCAAAAGAAAAAACTGTACGAATAGTTTTATTTTTATATACTGAAAAACAATTTTTTTTAATATTAGGTCTGTTCGCGTACACAAAAATCCAGCAAAGTAAGGGAAATTGAGAGCATTTTATTCTGAGGAAAAGCTGCTAGTTTCTGATGGAAAATTTTTTGGCAGCAGCCATTTGCCAGCAAGAAAAACATCTGATCAAAGTCATCTGTTTTCAATTTATGAAAATATGGAAATTTATTTTAGATTTAGGTTTAGATTTATTATTATGAATTTAAGTTTGAAATAACTTTTTGGAACTGCAAATGTATCGGAACAAAGCAAATACTCATTTACTCATGTTTGTTTAGCAAATTTCTTTAGGAAAACTTTTAATTTATATTCATTTCCTGTTTTCTGTTTTCTGTTTTATGCTTTTGTATGTTGCTAGTTTTGTGTTCGCGTACTTTTGCTAACATTTCTCTCTTTGAGAGAGAACAGATAAAAATTCATTAGAATTTTGCTGCTGAGAGTTTTCTGCTGGAAGAATACGCAAATACCCGTATTCTTATATTTATAAGTGCAAGGCATTACTTTTTATCGGTGACTGGCGGCACCAGATAAAATCTGACTGGCTATTATTTTTGTAATTGCAATAATATTCTGCACCTGTTAGCCGAATTTCAGATTTTATAAAATGCTTTCAAGATGCAAAGATTTTGTACAACTTCAATGCGTGACTGACGCGCTCGGGTGCAGGATTTTAGTGACTGACTAATGTCATACTACTTTTCAGTCAATATACTCGCAATTAATTTTTCAGATTTTATAACGTAGTTGCAAGATTAAGAGTTTCTATACAAAATTAAAGCCGCCCCACGCCAAACGCTAACGAATCAGACTGACTGACGGCAGGCAATTTCTCCACAAATGTGAAATAATATCAAAAATTCAGCTTTTATAAAATGCTTGCATTTCCTTGTCGCTGGCCTCCCGGACTATAAATCAAGCTTCTAATATAACTTTTTGATGTAATTCCAGAATGAAAAAAATGATGTTTGCTTAACCGAGGAAGAAGAAACGAATAATCAGAAAATGATACCCTGTAGAAGCAGCGTTCGACAACGTTCATGTTCTCGTGATGGAAAAAAGATGCGACGGCATCGCCATTCTCAGAATCCAAGAGAAGGTTTACGTTCTCAATCACCTTCATATCAACGTTCTCGACTCTCTTCATCAATAGCGAGGCGGCAGGTTAAACGAAAGCGACGCCATGCCAAGCTACAACGACGAGATGACGAAAAGCGTGAAAAGAGGAGATGTGAAAAAGAAAATTCGCATAGTTCTGAAAATTCCCCAAAACGGAATACATGGTTTTCTACTAGTAAAGGTTTCAGCAGTGTGGATAGCAAAGTTGCAGAAAATAACAATGCCACCGTAAGCGATGCCGAAGGAAATATTACTGAGCGGCAGCGTCGAACCGTTGACTTATTAACATCCCGAAGCACTAAAAAAGTCCATACATGGCTATATTAACAAAGTAAACGTAGATAACATTGCCATTATTACTCGTGAACTGCTTAAAGAAAATATTGTTCGTGGCCGTGGCTTACTTTGTCGTTCTATTATACAAGCCCAAGCGGCATCGCCCACTTTCACGCATGTCTATGCTGCCTTGGTGTCTATAATAAATTCTAAATTTCCTAATATAGGCGAGATACTACTTAAACGTCTGGTAATTCAATTTAAACGAGCTTTCCGAAGAAACGATAAGGCGGTATGTTTGTCGTCATCCCGCTTTATAGCTCATTTAGTTAATCAGCGTGTAGCACATGAGATACTTGCATTGGAGATCCTAACGCTATTGGTAGAGACACCAACAGACGACTCTGTGGAGGTAGCTATAGCTTTTCTAAAAGAATGTGGCATGAAATTGACCGAGGTGTCTTCTAAAGGCATAGGTGCAATTTTTGAAATGCTAAAAAATATATTACACGAGGGTAAATTAGATAAGCGCGTTCAATATATGATTGAAGTAGTATTTCAAGTGCGAAAGGATGGTTTCAAGGATCACCAGTCTGTGATTGAATCATTAGAATTGGTGGAGGAAGATGATCAGTTCACACATTTGCTAATGTTGGACGAGGCCACAAATCCGGAGGATGCTTTAAGTAAGTTTTAAAATACATTAATATGTGTACTTATCGATTATCCTCCGCAATAACGGCACAACTAAAAAAAAATCCCATGCTCTTAAGGGCCTCATGTCTCCTCCTTGTCTAATCCATGCCGAAAAACCACTTCCAACTGTTAAGTGACTCATGTCTCTGGTTCTTGTCTAATCCTTACTAAAAAGTAATGGTAACTGAAGTAAGTAGTAAGGGTTAAATACAGGATCCACTTGACAGTAGGAAGGGTTTTTTTTTAGTTTTCATGTGTGTCGTTATTGCAAAAGGTCCTCGATACGTATTTCTTTACTTGTACATATAATATCAAATTTATGATTAAAATCATAAATTTACAAGTTTTAGAGCAATGGCTTCTAAGGCATTTTTTCTTAAATATTTGCAACGTTTTTCAAGTTAAAATTTTTTTGTTATTTTTTATAAAAATATGTTTCATGCTTTAATCAAAACCACATAAGCCAAACTTTCAAACTTCATACAGAACTTGGAAAAACTCAACAAATTTTCGCCGATAGATCGCTTGCTTTGTAGGACAAAGTTGCAAAAAAAGGCGCAGTCTTGTGATCAGCTGACTAAGTTAAGTGACATTTTAACTAGTTTTGGTTATTTTTCTTTTGTTTATTTACTGTTTATAATTTTTGATAAGTACGTTAAAGCGCAAATTTCAAGACGCTAGAAAATCCGTTGATTTTTAATAATTTTATTTTGGTTGGCGGTGTTGAGCATTTTCTCCCTTATAAAGTAGGCTCGGTAATTACTTTTACTAAATAGTAATAACCTTCCGAAGTTCGGGTGAATACATTAAAGAAATACTTGCAGATATTAAGTATTTAAACTTAAGTAAAAACAAGACGTGACATTCATGAACCTACTTCAATATTTGGCGTAGGATGTACCGGCCAAACGTCAAGCTGTGAAGTTCTACTTATTTGTGCCTTGATTTGTCTTTGTATTTTGCAAAGTTTATTGTGCTAATTTTGAGTAAAAGTTGCTATAAGAAGTGCCTACGAGCATCTTAGTGTGATAATAACCGAAGCTAAGTGAAAGTTCTGTGATTTTTGTGGTTTTTATTAAATTTAATTAAATTTCACTAGCTTACATCTAATCTTGCCGAGTCATTTGTTGTTATCATTGTTGTTGTTATTCCTTTGTAGTTAACTGAGATCGTTTCTATTTTTGCACATTTCTTTTTGCTCTTTTTGTTTACTTCGTTTAGTATTTCTTGTCACAGCTGTTTGCGCTGCGTTTATTAAGTGTCACATTACAGTGATACTCAAACTGTTCGCTACATATATTTTTAAGCTAAATACATCAGCTCCTGAATTGTTGTGTGTGTTGTGTTAAACTTATTTTGCTTGTCTTTTTATTAACATAAGTGTTATTAAATCTTTCAATATGATGGTATTTGCCATCTAAAATGTGCTGGTTTGACAGGAAGAATTCTGGACGCTATTAATGATGGCAAAGGTCTTCGCTGGTCTTGCTTAAAGTGCAGGTCAACCGAAGTTGATCTCTTTAAGTTGTTTAGGCAAACCAGAAATGGGTTTTCTGAGGTAGGGAGGGAGTTGTCGGTACTGACCGAAAAATTTAAACATTACGAAAATGTATTTAAATCTTTTAAATGCTTAGATACCGTACAATCTATGAAGGACATTCGTGTGTCAAAACGTAAGCGTCTTCATAGTCCGCCTAATGAAACGACCGTTCCACGTCAGAACACTCTTCCGAATGACTTAATTAATCTTTCTTCTCCATGTCCACAGACAACGGAGTTATCTTCCTCAAAAGAACATATATCAAAGTCTGCTTCTAATAATAACGACCCTGCAGTATCTTCCCCGTCCCCCGTTGAAGTTGTGGCACCGCCATCCAATCTTCCAACGCTTACTCTATCCTAAACTAGTAACTCAGTTACTCAACCCCGTCCGCCGGTAATCGAGTCTGATACTAGGAGACTGGTTGTGGTTCCCCCAAAGAAGTCTATATTTGTATCTAGATTTTCGAGGGATACTTCCGAGGACGATATAAAGTTTTACATCTCGTCCAAAGTTAAAACTGTCAACTTAAGTATCAGAAAATTTAACTTTAAATATGAAAGAAATATTTCTTCATTTAAAATAGACGTAAATTTAGAAAATTTTGACATGCTGCTTAGTAGTTCTTTTTGGCCCTCCGGAGCTTTCGTTCGTGAATTTGAGTATAGGCCCAACAAAAATAATAATTTAGCAAATATTCCCCGTCAGAATACAGAACCAAAAAACTGATTACTAAATCTGCTTTAAGTATTTATTATCAAAACGTAAGAGGCATAAATACTAAATTAACGAATTTATATCTTAATGGCCTTGAATGCAATTATAATATAATGTCTTTGACTGAAACTTGGCTCAAACCTCACACTTTTAATTCAGAGATTCTTTCAAATAATTATCATATCTACAGAAAGATCGGGAGGACAGAGTCGGCGGTGGCGTACTCTTTGCCGTAGACTCTTCAATACCATCTGAAGAAGTTAGTCTTCCACACATCGAATCTGCAGAATTCAAATGCATTCGTGTTCAGGTTGGAAGGGGGTTTACTTACTTAGCTCTATGCTATATTCCTCCCCGATCTGACTTATCAGTGTATTCACAACATGTATCTTTACTGAAATCAATTAATTCAATGATTAAACCCTCTGATTCATTGATTGTGTTGGGGGACTTTAATTTACCAAATGTATCATGGAACATCATTGACAATGATATTGTACCTTTCTCGTCTAGCGCGTGCAACAACGTATTTTTAGAGGAGATGGCTGAACTCTGCCTGAATCAAGTTAATGTACTTCGCAATAAGTTTGGCAAAGTATTAGATCTTGTTTATGTTGATGATGCATCTAAGTCGGCTGTAAATAAATGTGACCCACTAGTTTTGCACGAAGATGTCTACCACCCTGCTATTGAGATATCTTACGAAATTATAAACGATGGTCAAAATTGCGATGTCCAAACATACGAGCCAAATATTCGCTTTGATTTTTCGCAAGCCAACTTTAAAAAACAGAATAAAGAATTGTCTAAATTGTCGTGGCCTATATACAAAGAAAAAGTTGAGCAAAGCGTTGCACATTTTAATTTTACTGTACATAGATTATTTGAAAAGTATGTGCCTAAACGCATGTGTGTTCCTGTAGAACAAACACAGTTATGGTTCACTAAAGAACTGAGAAACTTGAAAAAACAGAAAGTCACGTTATTTTAGATTACACAAAAAAAAACCGGCTTACACTCATACTATGTAAAATACTCACTTTTGCGTCACAAGTTCTTTGAATTAAACAAAAAGTGTTATAAAGATTACTTGTGTAAAATCAAACGACGTATAATATATAACCCCAAATCATTTTATGATTTCGTAAACTCCAAGCGAAATGTACGGGGGTTTCCTTCCGCCATGAAGTATCAAAATACCGTCTCTGGTGATAATCAAACAATTTCTAACATGTTCGCTCAGTTTTTTAAATCCAATTATTCCACTAACTCCCAAGCATACTTTGACTATCCTTTTAAACTAAGTCCAATTAACTCTATACATAACCCTATAATATCTCCCGATGATGTTTTAGTTTACCTGAAGTCCTTAAAGCAGTCTTTTAGTTATGGTCCTGACCAGATCCCCACTTGTTTTCTTAGAAATTGTGCTGATTATCTCTATGAGCCGTTAACGGCCTTATTTAATGTGTCCCTTAAAGAGGGCGTTTTTCCAACTGTATGGAAGGAATCGTTCATAACCCCCTTACATAAAAGCGGTAGCAGGTCTTCAGTGGAGAACTACCGGGGCATAGCAAAGCTTTCTGCAATTCCTAAATTATTTGAAGCAATTATAACAAATCGGTTGACGCATTCTATCACTTCAAGCATTTCATACAGTCAACATGGATTTTGCAAGGGCAAATCAACTTCTACAAATTTACTTGAATTAACATCCTATATCTCAAAAGCATTTAGTGAGAGCAAAACTGTTGATGTTATATATACTGATTTCAGTAAAGCATTTGACAAAGTGTGCCACTCGTTGCTCATCTATAAACTTGATCTTCTTGGTCTTCCACCTAATTTTCTACGTTGGATCTCTTCATACCTCTATGATAGATCACAAAGGGTATTGTTTAAAAATACTATCTCTGACGTCATTGATGTTACTTCAGGAGTCCCTCAGGGTAGCCACCTAGGCCCGATTCTGTTCTTGCTTCTTATAAACGATATTTCTACAGATATAAAATTCTCCAAAATTTTAATGTATGCAGATGATGTAAAACTTTATAAATCGTACGTTTCAATTGAAGAAAGGTCTTTGCTACAATCAGACTTAAACAGCATGGCTTACTGGTGTAAAGTAAATCTTATGCCTCTAAATCTTAAGAAATGTAAAGTAATGTGCTTCTCGCGAAGAGCTGTTCTGCCAGTTTCTTATATAATAGGTAACCATAACCTGGAACAGGTATACAATTTTGTGGACCTTGGTATCACAATGGATCCTAAGCTTAATTTTAATCTTCACATTAATGTGACAGTCAACAAGGCTAAAGGTGTACTTGCATTTGTGAAACGATGGTCAAAAGAATTTAGTGACCCGTATATCACTAAAACCCTGTTTACAACATTAGTTAGGCCGATTCTGGAATACGGCTCGGTGGTTTGGAATCCAAGGTACCAAATTTACTCAGACAAGATAGAATCAATTCAAAAACAATTCCTACTTTTTGCTTTAAGAAATTTCCGATGGGATTCTCAATATAGTCTTCCACCTTATACGAGTCGCTTAAAACTTATTAACCTTCCTACACTTGCCAGTCGCAGGGAAATGCTTGGTATAATTTTTATGGTTAAATTACTGACAGGCTCAATTTCAAGTCCGTCTCTTCTGGCTGATGTAAGCTTTAATGTTCCGTCACGCGTATCAAGACACTTTTGTCCCATATTTCTGAAAGCTTGTAAAACCAATTTTGAATTGCACGACCCACTCCGTTGCTTATG